TGTAAATGCTGTCACCCAGGGGGTCAGTGGAAAGGGTGGTCACGTTGTCCCTGCCTCCTTGCCGGTGTTATCTTATAGTGGTCCATCTGTTTTGCAGGTTATTCAGTCACTTGACCTGCTCATTCCCCTCCAGGCACTGCAGGACTGGGGCCCAGGAATGAGTTAGTGTGTGGAGACTACAGGTTTCCCTTGGGCCTCTCCTCTCCTTCCTTCAAGGTCTCGTGACATTATTCCCCTGGATTGAGCCCCCAAAGTTATGGCTCCTGCCCTTACTCTGCCTCCTGGATCCCTTTTTTCAGAAATCCAAGATGCCACCTGTGTCTTCACAGGTCTCCCTCTCCTCCTGGGTCCTTCAAAAACTAGTAGCCCCCTTCATGCTTCCACCCACCAGGAACCCCCGCGTTAGTTTCCTATGGACTACTATAACAAATTACTGTACACAACAGAACTTATTCTCTGACTGGCCTGGAGGTTAAAGTCAAGGTATTGGAAGAGCTGTATTTGCTGTGGGGGCTTCAGGGGAGAACCCCAGGAACCCTGACTGGTCCTAGCTGGTATGTCTAACATGCAGTAGGGAATGCCAGCTTTTCTATTGTTTTGAGAGAATCTGGAAACCTGGTCATTTATGTGAAATCCTCTGCTCCTTAAGTCAGAGCATGAGGTCACCAAGTTGGCAAAGTAAGAAACCCCAGTCTTCAACCCCCAGCAAAAATCAACAATTAGATAGCTATCCACAAACAGCTTGGAGAGAGCTCAGAAGTCCATTGAAGGAACTTCAGCAACACATTAGAACAGTGAAATCTGAGAATAATTATACATAAAAAGGAAAAAAATAGCAACTATATTTTGCCTGCATCATCCCAAATGCCAAGAGGGAACTCCACAGCTAAACAGATCGTCTCTTGCCAGCAATGGGAGAGTGGGGTGAGTGACCAACTTTCCCTGACTTTATGGTTGTTGCATGAAGGACCTACTTTAGTTTTAAACAACCCAGAGACTCTCAAAGCTCAGCTATGTAGAAATTAAAGGAAAAAGGAAGAAGGGCAGGGCCTACCAGTATCTACCACACAATGGGAGTGGCCATGGCTTCCAGTGGTCTGCTCTGTTGATGACCTTAGGAACGTTCCCTGTTGAAACCAGTGGCCATCACAGATGCTGTGGTCCTCCTACAGAATTTATTACTAAGATATTTTACCTACAGGCATTTAATGGTAATGGATACCAGCCATCTGGGTCCTTGCTGCTCCCTCCCTAACTCCCCAACATAGGTTCTGTATGGGCTGCCAATCTTAACCTCTATTACTGTAAATGGCAAACTATCCACCATGATGTATAAGGTCTGGTAAAACCCCTCCAGCTATGCACATACATCTGCCAACCTGACACCCAGCCTCTACTGTCATGTGTGTGCCTGTGGCAAGATGTTGCAGTCACAAGCATACACATTAGCAGTTATGGTCCTGGTAGATTCCAGTGTGCCTGCAGTTGTGCCCAGTCCTCTTAGTTGGTCCTGGCCCTTATCACTACATGTGTGTCTGCAGCTGGCTCTTGTCATTACACAGGCATCTGAAGCTGGTCCCTGCAACTGAGTGTGTGTATACCACTAGCTCTGGCCCCCACTATGTCTGCCCTGGTCCATGGCCACTGGACCTGGAGGCACTGCTGAGGATCCCAGTAGCCCTTGCAGTTGCTGTTGTAGACCCTTTACAGTACTTGCACAGGACTATACAGTTGTTGATTTTGTGGACCCTAACAGTTTGAGCCACTGACTCATCATGCTCCCACCCCACCACCAACCCAGAACCATTACATATCCCCATACTTGGTACCTTGCCCCACTAGATCTGGAGTCACAGTATGCACTACAATACCTCTAGCCACAGATGAAGGTAATTTCTAACTGAAGCCCAGTCCATGAAGTCTGGAATGTGCAGATACCTGTGCCAGGCTAAAGAATCATGACGAATCATGGCAACATAACACCACCAAAAGTCACAGTAAATTCCCAGTAGCTGACCCCAAAGAATTAGAGATATGTAAATTGCCTGGCAAAGAATTCAATTCTAAAGATGCTCAGGGAGCTACAAGAGCACTTGGCTATGCAATATGACAAAATCAGGAAAATAGTAAATGAGAAGTTCAATAGAAATAGTGAACATATGAAAGAACCAAACAGAATTTTTGGAGCTGAACTGAACTGAGTATTTCAGTAAAGAGCGTTGACAGCAGACTGAGCGAAAGAGAAGAAAGAATCAGTGGACTTGAAGATAGGTCATTTGAAATGATACAGTTAGAGAAACAAAAAATAAAGCATAATGAAAAGGGGGGGAAGCCTATGGAAAATCAATAAAAGAAGAAATCAGTAAATCACGAGTTTCAGAAGAAGAGAGGGAGTAAGGGCAGAGGACTTATTTTCAGAAATAATGGTTAAGAACTTTCTAAACCTGGGGAGAGATTTATACATCCAAGTTTATGAAGCTAATAGAGCACCCTGAAATTTCCATCCAAAAGAATTTTCTTGAAGACATATTTTAATAAAACTGTTTAAAATCAAAAGACAAAAAATAATTTTATTTTTTCAATGGTACTTTATTTTTATTTTTTATAATTTATTTATTTATATATTTTTACATTGCTGTTCATTTTTGTACACTGATTTCTCCTCTCAGCTGTTGTCCGCATAAATTAGTACCACCAAGACACCTGTGAACCATCACCATAGTTTTTTATGCTCTTCTCTCCCATTTTGATACTTTTCCCTCCCTCTCCCCTGACAAATGTCTCCAATTTATAGTTTGACTGCTAGTTTTGTCTTTTTTCTCCCCTGATCCCTTGTATGGTTTCTCTGTTCCTCCTATAAGTGAAATCATCTTATATTTTTCTTTTTCTTTCTGACTTATTTCACTGCGCATAATCCCTTCCAGCTCCATCCATGTTGCTGCGAATGGCATGATTTTCTTTTTTCATTGCTGAGTAGTATTTCATTGTGTGTGTGTGTATATATATATATATATATATATACACCACATCTTCTTGATATAGTCATTGTTTTCAAACAATCAGGTTGTTTCCATATTTTAGCTATTGTAAATAGTGTTGTGATGAACGTAGGAGTGCAAGTATCCTTTTAAATTAATGTTTTTGTGTCCTTTGGGCAGATTTCTTTTTTTTTTTTCTCTCTCTTTTTTTTAAATTTCATTTTTATATTCTCCATACAATTGCAACCCCCTTATTTTAACCCCAATCCCGCCTTTCCCCACCCCCCCCCCATAGTGTGTCTCTGGTTCATAGTTGTTTGTTGATTTTAATTTTTTCTTTCTTATAGTTATTCTTTTTCCTGGTCCCTTATTTAGGTTTTCTAGATTCCTGCTATGAGTGAGACCATCCAGTATTTTTCTTTTTCTTTCTGGCTTATTTCGCTGAGCATGATCCCTTCCAGCTCCATCCATGTTGCTGCAAATTGCATGTGTTTATCTTTTTTGATTGCTGAGTAATGTTCCATTGTGTATATGTACCACATCTTCTTGATCCAGTCATCTATGTTTGGGCATTTGGGTTGTTTCCAAAGCTTAGCTATTGTAAATAGTGCTGCTATAAACATAGGGGTGCAGGTGCTCTTTGGAATTAGTTTCTGTGTCCTCTGGGTAAATACATAGGAGTGGAGTTGCTGGATCATGTGGAAGCTCTATCTTTAGTAGGTTGAGAAATCTCCACACAGCTTTCCATAGTGGTTGGACCAGTTTGCACTCCCACCAGCAGTGCAGGAGAGTTCCTTTTTCTCCACATCCTCGCCAACATTTGTTGTTGCTAGTTTTTTTAATATGTGCCATTCTCACTGGTGTGAGATGGTATCTCATTGTAGTTTTGATTTGCATTTCCCTGATTACAATTGATGCTAAACATTTTTTCATATGCCTGTTGGCCATTTGTATTTCCTCTTTGAAGAAGTTTCTTTTTAGCTCTTCTGCCCATTTTTTGACTGGATTATTTTCTTTGTTCTTGTTGAGTCTCATCAGCTCTTTGTAGATTTTTGTGATCAGTCCTTTAGCATTAGTGTTGTGTGCAAAAATGTTCTTCCAGTCGGTGGGGTTTCTCTTTGTTTTGGTTATTGTCTCTTTTTCTGTGCAGAAGCTCTTTAATTTGATGTAGTCCCAGCTGTTTATCTTTGCCTTCACTATCACTGCTTTGGGTGATGTGTCTGTAAAGATGTCTTCGAGGTGCATGTCATGTAATGTTTCGCCTACATTTCCTTCTATATAGTTTATGGTTTCAGGTCTTATGTCTAGTTCTTTAATCCATTTTGAGTTGGTTTGTGTGCATGGTGTGAGGTAGTAGTCAAGTTTCATTCTTTTGCATGTAGCAATTGGGTAGATTTCTAAGAGTGGAATTGCTGGGTCACGTGGTAGCTCCATTTTCAGTAATTTGATGATCCTCCACTTGACTTTCCATAGCTAATGACTAGCTGTTCAGTTGCTGTGGAGTCAGGGCTGGTGACCAGCACGGCTAAGGGGTAGATGGTGGGGCCATGGGAACTGTGGCCAGCTACAGTGCTGCATGCTCCAGCTTTAGCCTCATTGTAGTTTGAGCTTGTGTTTTCCAAGGAAAGCTGGAATTTCAGTTTTGAAACATGGAATCTCATTTTGAGTGTTGGGTTCAGAACTTTAAAAATACTAGTTAGGTCAAACTGCACAAGCACTAGTCAACCTCTTGACTAATAGTTTTGACTTTTGTTTTGGATTTGGGTTCCTGGAGGCAGCCCAGGCAGAAAGAGCCCCTTCTCTAGTCTCGACCCCAGCCAGTGCTCTGGGCCTCAGTGACTAGAAGTGGAGGCACTGGACAGATGGGGCCCTTAGAGCTACCTGTCCCTGCCCTCCCAGGCTCAGTGTTCAGACCTAAATCCTGGCTGGGGGCCTGAACCTGGTCATCTGGGGCGCTCCATGCTGCTCCCCCTCCTCGGTTTGAGCGAGCAAGATTTCAACCATCTCATCTCTGTTCCACAGGCTGGCCTGATCCGTGTGGCGGAGGAAGAGTTCTTCATTGAGCCCCTGGAGAAGGGACTGGCAACAGAGGAAGCTGAGCAGGGCCGTGTGCATGTGGTGTACCGCCGGCTGCCCACTTCTAAACCTCTCCCTCTGGGGGGCCCACAGACCCTGGACACGGGTAAGGCTGTTGCATGTGGGTGGGCTGCATGGTGAGTCCTCAATGTACCCCTGGGGAGTCCAGGCATCCTTCTGCAAGCCTGGGCCCAGATTGAGGCTGAACCCTATCCTAGCTGACCTCATGGTACAGTAGGGGTGTTGTGGTGCTCAGGGGGGCAGGGGTCTCTGCTGTCTGTGCACGTGGGCCACAAGTCTGCAGGTCTAGGGCTTTCACAGTGGGCAGTGCATGCTGTCAGAGGAGCTACCTTCTGCAGCCCAAGGGTAGGCAAGTGTCAGGGAGCAGGGGAAACTCATACCAGTCCTGCACCTCCAACTAGAGTCCTATGCCTGTGTTTGAGCCTGTGCCATTGAAGATAACATCTATTTGTATCCCAACCCATAGCTCTTGTCTCCTAGCCTCTGTGCGCTTATCTGCTGCAGAGGTGCCCACCCTCCCTCGCTGCTCAGGGAAAGGTCGGTGCGGTTCTGCCCCTCCCAGAAGCCAGCCAGCTACTGGGAGAGGGGGGGAATTGCACCATAAAGACCTGGGGGTGGTGCTCCCAGCAGCCTGTGCACAAGCTCTGGGTCTGGGAGTCTGGAAGGAGCTGCTTGGCGGGCATGGTGACAGCCCCTAGCAGCAGCCTTTCAGAACCCTCCTGGTGGAAGCGCCACCCCAAACCTCCCCAGCATTCTTAGAAACTCATATGCTCGGTTGCATCAAGGTCAGGTAGTTGGGGTTGCACCATGGTCCTAGCAGGCCTCATTGTCTCCAGGACCCCAAAGTGTGGATGAGGTCACCTCCCTGCACTTGGCTCTTGCTGGGTGGGGAGGCAGCTGTGAGGTGAGCCCTCAGGCTCTACCTGGGCCCCTGGCTGTGGATAGCAACAGGAGGTGGGCGACAGACAAGCATGGAAGCCTGGATTTGTTTATAGTGAGTCTCTGAAGGCCCCACTGGGCCAGCCCACCTAAGCTATGATTTATCAGGACACCCCAAGCAGCTCTGGCTCATTTATTTTAGGTCTCTCTAATTTCCAGACTTGACAGATAAATTGGGTGCAGTCTGGCAGGGCACCATTCTAATTTCAAGAGGTGTGTCAGATGCCTTTGCAAAGAATAGTTCTGTCAGAAAGCCCAGCATTCTCCAGAGCCAATCAATACTCCTGGTGGGTCCTTCTTCCCAGGTGATGAATTATAATCCATTCAATAGCCAGATCACAGGCGCTGCCCACCCACCTTGCTCGGCTTCAGTTCCTTCCACCTCTTTCCCACCCTTGGACTTCCATGCAGGGGAAGGAATGGAAAGCAACCCCATCGCATGCAGGTAGGAGTGAAAACAGGACAGGCAAAGTGAGCCTTGTCCTTATTCCTCACTAGCTAGAGTTCCTGGGCAAGTTTGGGGCTCTGGCCTCTGCTTTCTTTTTTGGTTATTGGAATTAGAAATGCCTGTGTTTCATATCTAAGAGATGAGGGCCTGACTACTTTGTAAATTGCTTGGTGCTTCTTGGCCTCCACTGGAAGGTACAGGTTGATTCCAGGGCCCCTGTGTGGGCTGGTTGAGGTGGAGTCTGCTGCCAGGTGCCCTGACCATGTCTCTGATCCCAAATTCCATGTGGTGCCTGGCTTCCTGAACATGGCAGCCCTCTCCTATGACTCAGTCAGCCTTGCCTTATTTTCCCGGTTTCTGCTGGTATTCTGGCATCTTCTGTGGAATCCTTTCCTCCATCCTTTGATCCATGCATCTTTGGTGGGAGCTTGAAAATTCAACATAGGAAAGGAATTTCAAACTCAGAATAAGTCTAGAAACCATTGGCCTTAGAAGATGCTGGGGAAGGCCATCTGCACAGGTCATGGGCTGAGGTTGCCCTAAATGATGGGGGAGGGAGAGGGAACCCATCGCAGGCTGTGGGCTGCAGGCTGTAGGTCCAGAACACAAGTCCAGGATCTGGGGCCAAGCTCTCTTTCCATGACACGCCTACCCAGGGTCAGCATGACACTGTGCGAGAACATTTCTCCCTGGATGTGCCTGAATGTTCTTGATCAGCCCAGGACTAAGACCCACTGGCTGGCTGGAGGGAGTCCAGACACATTTTATGCCGGCTGAGGGCCTGAGGTGACCTCAGACAGTCCAGCTTTCCATCAGCCTGGGCTTTGTCAGGGCCACTGGTTTTAGCTGAGATATGTGAAGGCAGGGTCCTTGATTGGGCCTGCTTGCTTCATGCAAGAGGATACAGCCCTCTGGGCACAGAACCCTAGGACCTCTGTGCAAAGGCTTTGGGGGGAGGGTGTGTGTGTGTATGTGTGTGTGTAAGCTAGGAAACTCTTCTGGTGAATTCTGATGAGAACCCTGACATCAATGTGGCGCAGGTGGGAGCACATAGGGGGCACTGATTGAGGACTTCCTTTTGTGCTTCCAGCGCAACTTCTGGAAGCAGATTGAGATGCCTTGGCAATTTGCTATTGATGAGAAGTAGATATGATGGGTCCTGTGTGGTTGGGGATACACCTCTGGAGTTGGGTCTCCTAGCATGTTTCCCTATTTACCCTTAGCAACCAACAGGCTTTCTGGGGTGATTTGGGGGGTTCTCACTAAGTCTCAGAGCGTTGTTGTCACTCATTGTCTCTGTCATTCAGGTTGGGTGCTGGAGCGCAGATTGCCCAGGGAAACTGATGGAAAGTGAAGGTTTACCATATCTCCTGCAGACTCAGGCCAGGCACTGAGATGTGCGCTGGGCAGCTCTGCACACGGTAGCATTGCCCTCGGCCTTGGAGGGGGCTTTACAGTGGGTGAGGTTTGAGGGGGAAGGAGGACTTTTTTCCTCCTGACTGGCCTTAGAGGTGTTGCAGGCGCTTCTCTGCTTAGCTCTGCTTAGACTGGGTGCCTAGCTGAAGCGGGAGAGTAGAGGTCTGAGGTCAGGATTGCCTTTTAGGGAGAGGTAATGGAGGGGGTCTCAGGACTTCTTGGGTTGGGTCTTTCTCAGGTTCTGGAGTGCTGTTCTCTGCCCTCCCTAGAGCCAGTCTTGTGTCTAGGGAAGTATGTTGATGGGTGACAATGTGTGACATGGGCCTCTCTGTATTGGTGTGTATGATTTATGTGTGTGAATATGTGTGTGTGCGTGTTTGTTTGCACTGAGACACATACATGACCAGAGCCTCACCCCAAGTTCCAGCTTGTACATGAGCCCTGCCCTGGCTGCCATTTGTCAGCCTATTTTGGGGTTAGGAGGGGGAGCCAGGCAGCTGGGTGAGGGACAAGGCCTTTAGCCCCGACTGGATGCCTGCTCAGAGCGTGCTCTGGTGATCCAAAGCTGTCACTTCTCTCAGTCACAGGCTTCCACAGCACGTTACACCATCTGAGTGGCTGGAAACAGCAGCAGTTTTTTCTCCACAGTTCTGGAGGGCAGAAGTTTGATATGAATGTCACCGGGCTGAAATGACTGTCAGCAGGGCCGCGCTCTTTCATGAGGCTCAAGGGAAAATACATTGCTTGCTTCTCCCAGCTTCTGGCAGCTGCTGGTATGCCTGGTTTGCAGCCCCTTTGCTCCAGTCTCTGCTCTATGGCATCACCTTCTTCATTTCTGTGCGTATGTCAGTCTCCCTTTACCTTGATGTTGCATTTAGGGCTCACCATGATGGTCCAGGATCATTTCCTCATCTCTAGATCCATAATCTAATATGTGCACAGTCATTTTGCCATATTAGGTACCATTCGCAGTCTCGGGGATTAGAACCTGCTATCTTTGAGGGCCCCTGTTCAGTCCACTCGGGAAGTGAATCAATGTCCCACTGGCTGGGCAGTGAATGGTGTATATGTGCAGAGAGGCAGTGCTGCTGGCACCCGTCACTCCCCAGGGGACAGTGCTCAGCCACGGCCCAGGCAGGTTTCTCACCCTGTTGTTTCTGCTTGGCCATCTGGCATGTGGCATGGGGAGTTGTCTGTTGTGCACACCCTGGTGCAATTTCAGTCGGACTGTGAGGTCTGAGGAGGCTGGACAGAGCTGTGCCTGGGCTGACCCTAACACAGAGAAGTCAGCCTTGATGTTGGCGCCAAGGCCTTGGCTGTCTGACAGAGGCTGTGCTTGGGATTCTGGGAAGGTACCCAGGCAGTGGGAACCATTCCTGGGTCACGTGCTGGGCATGTCATCTGGTACCATTTGCAGAAAGTCCTGCAAGCCCATCAGAGGCCTGTGGGGCCCGACAGGTACTGCCAATGAAGATGGTGGTGGAGGAGAAGGAAAATAACTATCTCCACCCTTGGCCTGGCTTTCACTTTCCTGCTTTTGATATAAAAATGGACACAGAGTATGTCTCTGCTAAAAGAAAAGCCGTAGGGCAAGAAATGTGGTAGCACGTCATTCGGCCCTGGCCTCACTGTGGGAAGGGAGCCCCTCCTCAGTGCCCCTGCCGCACACCTGGTAGGAGTGTGGGCCTGAGGCAGCCGATCCTCTTACTGTCAAGAAGCAGAACTTTTATGTGAACTGTCCTGATTTTGAAATGTTGTTTCCAATTTCTGTATAAGCAGAACAGAGGAAACAAAACCCACTCCCCCTTTGGCTGCCTGTGCTGTAGGGGACGCAGAGGGTCCTCTGCTTTCTCGCTCTCCTAGGCCTCATGCAGCCCCCAGGGCAAGGCTTGGGGCAGAGAAGGGATAGTGAGCACCTGCTAAGCAGGTACTTCCCATCCTGCCTTGCCTGGCCTTGCATTGGGACCTGGCTGAAGGAAAAGAAACCAGACAGCTCAGTGCCTGTGACCTTGGCTCCCTCCTCCTTTGAAGCAGCCAGTGCCAAGCCTCTGCCCACTGCTGTCAGGCTGCCACATCCTCCCTGGCAGGCAGAGGAGGCATGCTACCCTCGGGAGCTCTCTGCCTTGCTGCTGCCAAGGAAAGCCTGCTAGGAAAGAAAAGAACAAGGCCTGGTGTCTCATGGCTCCTCTGCTACCCTAGTGTGGCTGGCTTTGAAGTTGCTACCCAGTGGCCATAGCCCTTCCTCCTCCTGACCTGCTGTATGTCTCCATTGCATGGCCTTG